AAAGCACTCGACAAGATGGCCGTCGACTGATTCCAGCCCCATTAGCCGTCAAAATTCAATTATAGTGTCAACGGCGCATTTGCAATAAATTAACAAAAATTCTTCTCGTGTCGACCTTTGTGCACAAATCACGGTTGACCGACCGTCCGCGTTTAATTACATGGATTACAATATAAAAAGGCTTTGTTCGGGAGTCGTCCTTTTATAAATATTCAATAGGCCGCAGCTAGATCGAAAAATTGACACGGATAGACAGGAAGAACGCTCATCATTGTGACATATACTTTAATCCCGAGCAAATTGCAAAACCGTTGTGTGGATTGAGCGGGCGGTGCTTCCCTCGGGCTCCAAAACGACGGGGGAAGTATCGCACAGCAAAAACTAGCGTTCATACACTAGGGCGGTTCCCCTGTTACACGGCAAACTTGATTATTTTTAATTAAAGTCTTTGCTGGTTGCTGGTATTACTGCATGTGCAATAAAATTTAGATTGTTTAGAGAGGTAGAGCATTATTTGGACAGAATTGCTGTTTAGCTTAATGCACTATACAAGAGACCGAGTGTGCGGATCTCTATAATATGTAGTTGAGGTCGGAGTACTTTTCCGCTTTCCTCTTTTGCGTATTAAGTTTCACAAACTTTGAAACTTTATATTTAATATAAAACAACTTCTGCTACAAACTAATTTTCATATCCTTTAAACGATAAAAAATAATAATAATTAACTTAATTCTTCATATAATAGTATCAGGATTGAATTAAACAACAATAATTGTATTCGATTACTGTAAGCAAAAATTATTAAATTCATTTTTTATTACTTAAATAATATATGAAGACATTTTTGATTTTATATTTTTAAATACAGGGTGATTTACGAGGAATAATGAGTATGACCAAATTTTCGATGCAACCAACATTACAGTTGTCGCAAAATAACTTGCGAAAAGTAATGGTGGTTGCATCTGGAATTTGGTTAGGCTCAATATTCCTCGTGAATCACCTTATATGTATGTATTCATAAATAGTATTGTTATCATCTATTGTTAAGGTGACCAACTACAGAAAACCAAAAACCAGGACATAAAGTTGGTGGATAATTACTAAATATTTATTTTACACAAACAAAAACAAATACTTCAAAAATACATCAACAAAAGAAAATTTCATTATAAAACTATTAAATTAAAAAAAATCCATATAAAACACCAATTTGTTCATTTATTAAAATTATATTTCTTTGAAGAATGAATTGCTTTTAAAAGATCTTCATTTTTTAAGATACCCAAAAATTACGTACATGTAAACTTTAGGTTGGTTTTTACCATAAGCATCGAACGCAACATTGTAACTAGTAACTGAGTCGCAAATTGTTCATTTGCGAAAAAACACATTGAAAAAATTGTTTGTTTCCGGAAGACACATACAGTACTCCACCAATATAATTATGATGTCATAGTTAAAATCGTTTTCTTTAAAATGTTTAAAAATCTCTACCCATCTAACTGAAAGGCTAACAGATTTGTTCTTCCATTCTTCGATTTTTTCTTCTGTTAGCTACATATCTCACCAAAAAACAAAATTCGTCAAACAGTTCCGTTTCAAGAATATTTATTTGGGGAAAGTTTTGAAAAAAGAGCTTACATCATCATCAATCTTAGGAATGTTTTCAACCAAAATCCATTTGAAATATTCTACACTTTTAAAATGTCCACTCCATTCACGAAGATAATCGCTACTTGTTGAATAAAAACCGATTACAATGTTTTTGAAAACTTGTTGATTTCACCATCTGTCTGTAACGAGTCAACCATATTTTTAACAGCAAATGACAAAAATGCCATTCGGTCTTCTATTTGCATTTGAAGTTGCTTGGCAGAACATTAAAAAACAGTACTTTTACTGGTTTTTTTCTTACCATTTTTTGACCAGGACAGCATTTACAAAAAACAGTACGGTTGGTCACCTTATCTTATGTTCAAATTTACTTAATAAATATTTTCATGTAAAGATGTAGTTAACAGAATATTAAATAAAATTTAAATGATATAATTATCTATAATACTACATAATTATAATTATCTCAAATTTTATAGACGCAAGGCTTTGACCAAAAGTGTCTTTTGTTAAAGATATGTACTTACTTATTTTGTGTGTCGACGACTGTTTGCAAACGTAAACTTTAAAATAGTACTCAAAAATTGTGTAATTTTAACTTTTTTGTGTTTTTACCACTACATCTTCAAATATTTTCTGCACCGCTGATATGATATTAAAATCTCCGGTACGTTTCACCAGAATTTCATAAAATTCAAATCAAATTAATTTTATTGACACTAAACTAAATTACATGTTGATCAACTATATTATAATCAAATACACTAGAAAATCAACCTGCTATATAAAGATAAATTATAAAAATCAAACTGTAAATAAAAATAAAGTTGACTGTATTAAAATTTTTATTACGATCCGTTTGTCTTATTTTCTACTTTATATTTTCTTTGATAAAAGCACAATAAAAGTAATAAACTATACCTAGATTTAAATGTTATTTGAGCTATAATATAAAAAAAGTTTATAAAATATAGTACATATATGTATTTCAATAGATTCTATAGTTTCTCCATTTGATATTGTTTCATCATTTCGATTTCTGTCAAATTTATCGAGCGAATTACGCCCCCATAACCCGTCTAGACTAGGAAAAACTCTCAAAACGACCGTCCCCTCGCCCTTCAATCGCCAGTTCCAATCATCATTGTTGACACCTCGCCAACTCACTTCTCCTCCGGCGAATTGGCCTAGACCCCTGGAAAGCATCAAAAACCCGAAAGCAAGCCCCAAACAACCCTCTTTCCCGGGAAAATTACGACTCTGCCTTACCGAAACCGTAATTCTGGCCGTCCATAACTACGTTCGCGGCATTTTTGCAATGTAAATTTAATTATGGCCGTGTCAATTGAGAATAAATTGGTTTAATTCCGTTTAATAGTGGGGTAATTGCCATAACACGTTTAACCTAATTACAGTCGGGCGAACATCACATTTTCTCAAACTGATGATAATAGGCTCGCTGCGAACACTTTGGCAGATAAGAATTCAAGCCTCCGGACCAACACCCGCCCCGCGACATCACATTAGCATCAGGGTGGAAACGAAGCTGTTTGCGTTTGCGGCGTTATCGAGCCCGTAATGAGGAAGTTTTGCAACTAGCAAAAATTGAAGTAAGCGATAATTTCACAAAACGCTTTGAAAAATTGATTTTGGTTAATACAATTGACAAAGGGAAAACTTATTTAAACAAAAGGCTTTTGTCATTTTCACAATCACGGCTTTAGCGCTATACGCGATCGTTTGTTTGTTGCAGAGAGGAAGCGGATGCGGGTCTTTGTGCAATTTTCCGACGCAACATTTGCATGCTTTGAGATCCGTAATTGTGGCTCATCTTATCTAGCCGTTTGAGCACGACCTCCAGATACAAAACTAACTCACAACACACCAATTAGAAGCCGAATCAAATTTGTTATCAGCAAACAATCTGAACTCAGAGGAGGTCTTCCGATTTTAATTCGCACGTAAAACGATAAACAGTTGAAAAGTTTCCTCATGAAGTAATTCGAATAAACTCGTAAATTTAATTACGGCCAAAGGGTTGTTTAGATATGATAATTCAGCGTATATAGGTGCCGTTCTGTTGGTACTTGGAGTGCGCCGTAACTGGCACCGTTTCACTTGAAGATTTAAATTTTTGACAAGGAATCGATTTTACAGAACATAAATATTATTATTAAATCGAAGACGAAGAAGTTGTTTGAGCAGTAAATTGGTAGCAAGGAAGTTCAAAACGCCGGTTCCAATGCTAATGCTATGATAAGAGCTCGAAGACTACCCTTTGCTTAAAAGCGGTTTCTGACAACCGGAGATTTATTGCAGATTGCAAAGTTAGTAATTATGATAGGTGTTATCATCAAATTTACTTTCGCTGCGTTAAACATACAACACAAATCTTGTGCGTAACGTAGATTAATACCTACAACTTATATACCTACAAGAAATGAAAAGAACAACTAAAATTTGAATATTTTGAACAATATGAGGAAATATAATCATAAATGTCGTTTTAGCGTAGTTAACAGTCAATTTTTATCTTGCTTTCTTGTTTAAATTTCTTTTTACAGCACACCCTTATTTTTATATTGGTTAATAATTTCAAACCCTGTCCTTGTAAAAACAAATAGTTCCGGTTGCAATCGGCACGGCCATTAATTGCGGCAGAACCGCACTCGTCCCTCTTCATTACGATTCGTTATTCCGCCGTCGGCGGTCAATCCGTCGGTTTAACGGAGTACTCTGCCTCCGGCCGCCCCATCACGATCCATATTTTTCGAAATGACCCATAATATGATTACGCGGTCATTCGGTTCGATAACAAATCGTGCGTGCAACCGGCTAAACGCTGCGATTACTTTGCGAATGCTCGTTGACACTTGGATGGTACTCGCGTTTTAATGTAATTAACGGAAATTGCAGACGAGCTTGCTGTTTACACCGGTAAAATCACGTGTACCGCATGCGGAGACGCCTGCTTTCCAATTAGAAGCGGCTCTCGTTTAGATAAGACGATAAGAGGCGTTTCGAGAAAATTGTCTGCACAAATTTTCCAAGACACCGAGTTATGAAGGGCGACTAGTTTAAACTTCGTAAAAATGAGAAGAGAAGAACGAGCTCGTCAGGTGTTGGTTGCAAGAATTGACTAATTAAATTTTCTCAACTACATTTTATCTAATATATTCTTCATTATAATAAATTTGCAAAAGTTAAGAGTTTTTTTTTTGTTTTTCTGATTTTTGATCTTCGTAAAAAACTAATTAAATTCCATGTGCAGTACACAAATCCTAATCAAATATTATATGATACTGATACTCCAATATGTATCCAAGTGCATGAACCGTATTTATTTCCCAGACGTATCGTGTAGTGTTCAAGATCGGTCACTATCAGTTTATATCTGTAACAGGGTTGCATAACAGGTATCAAACTACACTCCCTATTGGCTATAAAAGTTCCCTTTTCCTCCGTAATGTTATCAGTCTTTCAAGAGACTCCAACACGACGACGGAAGCACAATGGAAACCAAGGTAAAAGGATTTATTCCCTCCGTTTTGTGTGCGACTATTCGCTTTCATTCGTTCCACTCGCTTCTAGATTTTTCTACTGGCTGCGACTCTTTCCCTCGCCAAAGCCGGACTCGTGCAGCAAGGTCACTTTGCTTACTCCAACGTCCAGCACCACCCTGCACCCGCCCCCACGCATGTAGTTGCAGCTGTTCCGGCCGTCGCCCCCGTCGTACATACCCGTGTGGAGCCCTACGACCACAACCCTCAGTACAACTACGCTTACGCCGTTAATGATCAGCACACCGGTGATTCCAAGAGCCAACACGAAACTCGTAATGGAGATGTCGTCCACGGACAATACAGTCTGACCGATCCGGATGGCTCTCGTCGCACCGTTGATTACAGTGCTGGGCCCCACACCGGCTTTAATGCTGTGGTTCATAGGACTGCGGGGGCCCACCCCGTGCCCGTAGCAACAGTCGCTGCTCCTCTCATCACCGGACACTAAAAGCGAATCTCGGCCGTAACGAGGCTTTACGACCCACCGACCGTTATTTTATACTCTGCTTTGGATGACGATAATGTGTTCAGTTTAACAGTTTGTATAGTCTTGTAAAGTATTGCTAATGATATACACAGTGAACTCGTAAAAGTTACTTGTTTTATTATCCGTCGAAAATTCGAAACTTTGCAAAACAGCTTTCAACTTAAAGTTAGAACAGAACATTCTTCCACAACAATTCAATTTCATCAAAATATTTATGTATACATATAGATTCACACAAAACGAAAATACGAATATGTTTGCTCTTTAAAACCTTGCTATCAACGCTGTGACACTAATCAGTACACAAAAACTGTAACGACTTATTACCATTGAACTTTATTGACATACGCTTGAACAATACTTATGTTGAGTAGGGGAGAGGGGGGCAGTTTCGAACAAAATTTAAATATTAGTTTACGAAGCTCTTACCTGCAGTGAATTATAGTTTGATATGTTATGCAATGTTTGTAATACCTGTGGAAACCACAGTCATTTTGAATAGGTAATAGAAAAAAACAATATGAAAACTTGTCTGCAACTGTTCTAAACCGCCCCAAGACGGGGGCAGTTTAGAACAGGCACGAGGCAGTTTTAAAACAGCTTTATACAGTATGATGCAAAAAAGGCGCCCGTGTTAATCCACACGTTATTAGTGATCTTTTATTAAAGACGAATTCGAAGACCAAAATTGGATTTGTGCTCTTATCAGTAAGATATAGACTTTCCTTTTTAGAAAAGAGAAATCTATATAATTAACAGTTTTAAAATAATTTCATTGTTAAAGTCTAGATTTTGATACTGTTGACGGTGTTCTTAAAAAAATGTGTAAAAAGTCTATTGAAATAAACTTTATTGAAGATGTTTGGATACCATTTCTTGGCTCCAAAGAAAATTTGTCAATGTTGCAACAAGATACACAAGGATACAGAAAATGTCCAAGTAATATTCAATTATTGGAAACGGTAGCAACAAAAAAATCAATTTTCAATGTTGTTTGTTGTGTGAAATTTGAACGATTAAAGTCAAAAAGGTTTCCTAGATACGAAAAATACCTGAGTGAAATAGTTTTTTAGTAAAAGAAAATTGTGCAATATTGCCGCTTTGTGCTGTTAGACAAACTGTTTAAATTTTAAAAAGAATCTATTTAGACTTATTTTGGAATGATGGTCACAATGTTTCAATAAAAAAGGACGCGCCTGTTTCAATCGTGGGCGCCTTTTTTTCATCACCCTGTATAACTTAAAGAATTAAAGATACATGTGAAAAAACAAATTTATTGTATTATAAATGTGAAAATACAAATAAAAAAAAATCTTTTCTAACAAATTTTAAACTTTGAAAAAAAAAACAAAACATAAAAATTAAAAAGACTTACAACTTAAATTAGTGTTCAAGCATGCACATATCACACATGTAAGATTTTGCGCTGTACTTTACACCAGCACATTGGCATTGTGCCTACTTCTTGCAAGAGATGTATATGATCCATTTTTCTCCTGCCTTAGAAAGCGAGAACAGCCCATTTCAAAATATGCAAGCGGAATCATTGCTATAAGCCTTTCTTTGTCGTTTCCATCTTGAACCAATGTGGGTTGAATCATCATAAATTACTTTAATGTCTCATCAAAACTTTCTTCATTTTTCTTAGATTTTTTGAATAAATTTTTTGTCACTTTTTTTTCCTTGGCTTTAACTTTCCTTTTGTCTACTATTTTTCGTTTCTTTTCTCTGGCAAGTGTTTCCTGCTGATTCAAACTGTTCAAAACTGCCCCACACGCCTATATTCAAAAGTGCCCCTCGGTGCAAATTCACCTTATTTTAAAACCTGTATAATAATTTTCACTACTATTCACCCTTAAAATAACATTTTAGGTAGCTAGTCAGTTGCTCCCAAATAATAATATCTACAAGCAAAATTTAGCATAATTCAGTTGATAGTTTAAAAACGAAAGTTAAAATAAACATAAACAAACAAACATTATTAGGTTAATGCAAAAATAAATGTAACATAAATGATAATAATATTATTAATTCAAAATTGCACATTGCGTAATATTCGACTTTCAATTATGTATTTATGTACCTTGGTACCTTATTTTGAAATGATTATTATCAAAAATCGATATAATCTTGTAAATCATTTGTAAAAAAATTATATTGGACAACTCAAAGCCTTTTCCTTTCGCGAATGAGGAGCATGCCTGTTCAAAGCCGCTTTCAAAACCAACTGAGAGAAATATTATCCTGGATATATTATTGTGTTACTAATTTGTCGTCATTCCACTTTGATGCTAAAAGGACCGGATTAATAAAAGAAAATTTGTTCACAAAATTTCATCATTTCATCTTTTCACTAAAAAAAGTCAAGCAAGTTTCCGTAATGTTCATCCATATTCAATTGAGAACTCGTATATGAATTTCGATGTGTCCTTTACCTTCTTTCAGGTGCATTGAAGCTCAAAGAATCACAATAACTCATTTTACATTCGAAATTTTGTCGGCAATTATTCTTCAGTAATTTCAAAAATAAAGACAAGAAATTTCCATTACATGTACATTATCCTACTAGAATCATAACTATCCAACAAAATGCTAATACCCATGCATTAAAAGCATTGAACAACTAGGTAATTGTCGGTTGATTTCCTGAAATTCTCGTCACGCACGCACCTTCACGATCGTCTTTGTCCTGCTACAACGCAATTAGGGTGGCAGAAGAGAGGATGACGTTAGGCGCTTCTGTGTAATGAGGCTCGGATTAACTCGCACCTCCCATCCGCAATCTCCGAATTACCATTAACGCCCGGTACTAATCAATTTATTTTTCAAGAGAAATGCGTTGGAGTGAATTCAACAAACGTTCATTTGCCATGTTTAGCGAACAGACAAAAATCCGATAAAAACTCATCTTCCACCCTTCTCTACCATGTGATCATTTTCGGTTATAGGAAGCTACATGAAAAAACAATCAATATACCGGCTGCCCCAACAAGCCGGTAAACTCTACTCGTGCTATGGATCCTTAGTTATTCATAATAGATTGCCATTTAAAATAACAAACAATTTTTTTTCAAAAACAATTAATACTTTGTTGTCATGTAGAACTAATTTCTTCAGAAAGTAGTAAATTGAAATAATAAACACTTGATTCCATACTGTTTGTACACCCTGTATACAAATACTTGAGTTTCTGAGTTTTCAAAGTTTGAGTTTTAACTTTAACTTTCCACAAAAAAGCCAAAAAAGTTGAAGCTTTAAATTTTCAATTTTTGTTTTCTAAATTTAATTTAATTAGGCACCTCATATCGAAACTGTAGAATATTGCTTTCTTCTCCAAGTAAACAAATAAATATTAAATAATCCAGAAGACATATTTTTATTGAGATTTACACTACATTAAAATTTCTAATAGCTTCTTTCTTATTCTCTTTTTCTTTTTTGTTGTTTTTGTATGGTTATTCAATTTTATGGAATAAACGACGACATATTTTTACGACACGATACAATAGTCCAAAAAGCTTTCGATTCTACCACTCGCGCTGCAGCAAACCCCTTGAGGTTTGCGACACTTGGCCCCTTAGCACTTTTCCTTATAGTGGTTTCTTGGGGATTTACGTTCCCAGATTATTTCTGTTCAGAAGGCACATTTGCCAAACGGCCTTTACTTCCGTTTCTTATCTGTTGATGTCAAGTTTACCTCTACTGAAATTCAGCACGCAATATTGTTAATTCACTTTCAAGACTTCGGGAACCACTTATGTGACAGGGAAGGGTTTAACCGTGGGGAAAATTCAATGGTGCCGTCCTCTGACATTTACAGGAAACTGTAATTCACCGGTCATGCTGAATAAATCAAGTTTGTCTAAATCGATGCTTATCTTTTGTTCAGGAATAGCCCTAAAATATTTACACAAGCTATAGCACAAATAATATAAACGAGCAATGTTAAAGGTTGTATCTATATAACTATATGGTTTTAACAATGTAGATTTCAATTCAAAGTCTAAACGATGGTAATATTATCTTTTTCACAAACATAAATTTTTTTGTAACTGTAATTATTTTCAAACACTTATAAGGTCTAACTAAAACATCACAAGCACGCATGGTATAAAATAAATTCAATATGTGATAAACATTATCGTAAAAGTAAAAAAAATCGTGATAGTTTTCTCTAATAAAAAATATACCTAAATAACATTTTTATGTCTTCGTGAGCTATTTTATCAAAAATTATGATGAAAACAGACTAAATATAAGTAGCTTGAGCGCAGACATATTACTTACACACCAAAATGAAGACTACAGCTATTATTGTTCTTTTCGTCGTCCTTAGTGCAACTTCAGGTAAAAACATTACTCTTCCCTTTTTTATATAAACAAAAACAAATTCTTTATTCCTTAGGTGCGCCACCAGTAAGGTATGGTACAATTATAAGAGAAAACACGTTACGACACGTTCTTTTTGGAAACCTAAAACCACTTATTCAAGGACCATTAAATATTTTCTTTCTTGTTCCGGAACATTTACTGTCACCTTTTATGAATGAAAAGCCTGGCGAATTTCAAAAGCAATTGGAAGAACAGCCAGCAGAAGAAAAACCAGCAGAAGAACAGCCAGCAGAAGAACAGACAAAAGAAGAACAGCCAGGAGAAAATCCGCCAGCAGAAGAACAGCCAGCAGAAGAACAACCAGCAGAAGCACCGCCAGCAGAAGAACAACCAGCAGAAGAACAGCCAAAAGAAGAACCGCCAGTAGAAGGACAGCCAGGAGAGGAATCGCCAGCAGAACAGCCAGTGGAAGAACCAAACGCAGACGAAGAAGCAAAACAAGCTGAAGAAAGTTCTCCAGACCCAAATCCTGTAGTTGATTAAAAAAATGTGAATATGTGAAATAAAAATAAAGACGTACTTGGTACATAAATAATATGGTTTTACAAATAATTCTGAAGAACATCCTGCACAATAATAAACGTTTCCAAATAATTATAACTTCATTAAAGCTTAATTGGCCCTAAAGTTTAGCTTGGTTCTTTCAAAAAATCTGATTCAATAAAACTAAAAAAATTGTATGAAAAAGAAATGCAAATGCACATACAATTTGGCCCAAATAACTGTACTCAAACTTGTAGCTTATGCGAAATCGCTCATTACTTTAAAAATAATGTATGGATATAACGTAACTTTTTATTACAATTCTTTCACCTTTCATATTTTTCAGACAAATCTTGACAATTTTTCAGGAAGCCAGAATCACCCTGTGTAAGTAAATAGATGTAAATATATCACAACCTCCTAAAATATTTCTTTCTAAATGTATAAACAAAATTCCGTACTGTTCTTCCTATTGCAAAAACAAATATGTGTCAACATTTAAATTGAAAAAATACCTACATAAAATCATGTTATAAAGGTCTGTTTAATAATTAATAGTAACACATACCAGGTGAATAAAAAGTATGGAACGAAGCGTTTTTCTCGTAAACTAACCACTTTACAAAAAAAAATTAGTGTAGCGTAAAGTCCAATTAAAATGTGACCATTTATCAAGAATAACATTTTTCGAAATTTTTTTTAGTTTTCGAGTTCTGGAAAAAAAATTTTTTTTTTTAAATGGCAACCCACTATGGTAATTTTTTTAATTAAAGATTATGATCTAAAAATGACCTCTAATTAAACAGAATTGTTTTTTAGTCAGTACTTTTTTTTAATAAATTGTTAAATTTGCGTTCCGAGCCCATCACGAAGATTTTCCGAACTTGAACGAGGGTGTCGTTTCATAACTTTGGTCGTTGGAGAGCCCGGTTTTTGGTGCAGGTGCTTTGGGGTGGTTCCGGATTGATCAAAACATGTAAAAACAAATCATTTTCTTCTATTTTTAGTCCATTCGAAACCACCCCAAAGCACTTGCATAGAAATCAGCGCTCTCCCATGATAAAAAGCATGAAACAACCACTTCGGTTAAGTTCGGAAAATCTTCGTGATAAGCTCGGAACGCAACTTTAACAATTAATTAAAAAAAAGTACTGGCTAAAAAACAATTTTATATAATTAAAGGTTATTTTTAGATCATAATCTTTAATTAAAAAAATTATCATGGTGGGTTGCCATTTAAAAAAAAAATTCTTCTAAAACCCGAAAACTAAAAGAAATTTCGAAAAATGTTATTCTTGATAAATGGTCACATTTTAATTGGACTTTACGCTACACTAATTATTTTTTTTTGTAAAGTGGTTAGTTTACGAGAAAAACGCTTCGTTCCATACTTTTTATTCACCTGGTATACATTGTACGTACATCGTATAGATATAATGTATACAATCTTACAACCATTTATTTGCATATTTTATAATACTTTTTTTTTGTTCTATCTCTATGCAAACAGAAAAACATGTTTTATATTTTTAATTTTTTGTTCAATTGATTACGAAATGTAATAAAAATAAATTAAATGCATCACCTAAATCATTAACAATGCATATAATTTTTAATCTTTTATTGCAACCAATCAACTCAAAGCTTAACGCAACAAAACTGAGCAAACTTCAATCAAAATAACCAATTTTACGACGAATAAGAGTTTTTAATTTGTAGGTGCTCCACATGCATATAAACTTTTGTCATTTGTAATCAAATTTATTCACGAATCAAAATGAGATTGTTATTCATTGTCGCCGTTTTAACAATTTTTGGTGTCAGCAAAGGTACGTAATAATTAAATACTCGTAATATAATTTATTCTAATCTTCTGACGATTCCGTACAGTTACAGCCACTCATCTCAGACCATTATCGGAATCTCCAGGAACATATGACGACGATGCACCCTATATTAATATTTACAAGCCACCATCTGCTTATTTGCCACTCCCTGGATCGGCTGATACTGATCCCTACTACAAGGGCTATCAATCGGCCTCATTGGATTATAATAGATGTATGAAAGTTTTTATTTAAAATCAAATTCGTCATTATGCAATTTTGCAGGGAGGCGCTCTCTAGGCCTACACAATATGAATTAATACCAGGCAAGAATACCTTTTTCCGAAGACACTAAAAAACCAACTAAAACTTGTCTTGTCAAATGTCAAATTTGTATACTTTAATTGAAATAAATAAAGAAAATTGAAATTAAACTCCAAAATATTACTTCCAATGAGATTCAATCACTTTGAAAACGCACAAATGTATCTTCGATTTACAGTTGTGCATAAAATAAAAGCCATACTTAGCTACGGTGTATATGGCCTCTGTAATTAGGTATTTTGTTTACAATAGTAGTAGTTCATTAACTATCAATTTTATAACAAGTAACTACATACAGGGTGAATATAAAGTATGGAACCAAGCGGTTTTATTTTTAATCATTTGGCTCCAGAATATAATAATTAATATAAATTAAAGTAATATAAAAAATATGATCGTAGTATCAGAACGAAATTTTGTTTTGTTTTTGAGTTATGCGATTTTTTTTGTCAAAATTGCAATTTATGGGAAAAATTTTTTTTGAAAAAATTAAATATAAAGCAGATAGTTGTAATCCTTAGAGTATAGCTTTTATGAGAAAAATGATTTTGTAGTGGGTTGCCATTAAAAAAAAAATTTTTTTGTAGAACTCCAAAACAAAAGGAAATTTCGAAAAATTTTATTCTTGTTAAATCATCACATTTTTATAGTACTTTATCACTCATCAATTAGTTTTTTCAAAAAATAAATAGTTTAAGCAAAAAACGTTTGGTTCCAAACTTTTTACTGGTATTTATTTACTGTTATAGTTATTTGAATTATACATACGGGAGGTGAAATCGTAATGATTTAACTTTCAAGTTTTACAGTTAATATAGTGAATTGTTAAATGAAAGACTTTTGTTGTTTTGTTAGCTATCTAAACAAAAAAAAACAAAAAACTTAAATTAAAAACAAAGTTTTGTAAAATTTGACTAAACTGAATAGACTAACTAAAAATTGCATTAAGTATATGGACTATTTGGTAACAATGTTCTACTATATTTTAAACTACCGATCTGGTCGAAACAATGTTGTTAGAATCGTTAAGGTACTGAAAATGATCTAAAGTCTGGTAATCCAGAAAATTAAAAACAGTAAAAAAATTAAAAAAAAAACACTCATTTATTAATATATTTCAATTTTAAAATTACATGCTTACATGAAATAATTACTAGCTAAAATCTAATGATTACTGTTATAAAAACTATTGGCAGAGCAGAAATTTAGCAAAACTCGAAAACTAAAAGAAATTTTGGAAAATTTTATTTTTGAAAAACGAGCACATTATTATTATAAGTCCTTGATAATGTGCAAATCAGTTTTTTGTAAAGTAATTAGTTTATGCAAAAAACGCTTGGTTCGATACTTTTTGTTCACCACGGAGAACAACTGTTACTAATTTAACAGATGTATTTATCAAGAAACCAATTATCTTTTAATATCAGTGCGAAATCACATTATTTTATACATTCGTAAATGTATTTAATTAAAACTTTTCATGTACTTACATAATATAGCATTTAAGTGGACTAAATTCTTATCAGTCAGAAAGATGAAGTTGACAATAACTTTTCTCTTCATTGCATCAATCTACGTCGCTGAAGGTAACCCTAATTTAATATTTTTTGTTTGTAAAAACGTTCTTTCAGGATCTTTTGGTTACACTCCTCCACATGATGTCAGTAGAAGTGAAGTCGTTGCGAAGTCTTTTTTACCAAGAACTTTACCATCTTTCCAAAGAAATCCGCAGCCCCGAAAAGGATATTTTAATGGTGAAAAATGTGTATGCGATGATAAAGATGACACACTTTATGACGATGAACGCGATTATGCATTCGATTATTATGAATAGTTTAATTTCATAAACTACAGGAATTTATTACTTTATCAATACCTAAATAAAAATTGTACAACGTCTTTAGTGTGTATTTTCATAATTTGCAGATAATGATTATTATATGTGTACGTATGTATACATAGTTTATTCTTCGTCAGATGTTTAAGAACACATTTTCAAATTATTAAACTAAAACTGTAGTTATAATGTCATAATGCAGCTGAAAAATGAAGTCTGAAATAAAAAAGAAATTATTACAACATAATAAATGTAAATATGATCTTAAGAATAACAAAAAACTGAAGACCAATGTTTGTAATTACAAGTAGTCACAGATTTCATAATCTTTTCTATAGTTTATTTTCTATCTGTAGCTAGCATCTAGATATATGTGATAAGCTGATAACTGATAATATTTTTTTTCTGGTTTTACTCTTTTTTTCTTCTTTTTTGCATTTTAAGTTTCCAAACATGTAAAAACAATCTAAGGTTTAATATGCAAGGAATAAGCAGAATAACCGTCTCAAGTGCAAAACAGTGACCATCTCACACAACTCGACCCTACGTACTTGTATTGTAATTTTTTTGGAAATGAGAAACAACTTTTCTTTTAAGCTGCTTTAGAAATTATAAATAACACCAACAATAGTTTTATACCCTAATCTCAAACTGATATTTTTATTAAAAAATGTAACTTTATATTACTGTATATTCGATTAACTAAACACGCTATTCATCTCTACCTCATATTGTATAAGCAAAGTTCATATAATCGTAACACAGAAATCAATCAAATGCATTGCCAATATGACTGTAACAACATCAACACGAATATTGGTTAAATTATTTTGTAAAGAATGAATAATCCAATGTACTGAAACCATACATTTACTCGTAAATACATTGCATTTACTCTAGCTAACATTCAATTGCTCATAAATCGAATGGCGTATACATACATATATACATACCTAATACAATACTAGGTAATACTAGGTACATACCTAATAATACTAGGTGTACCTAAAATATTAAAAAATAAATTAAAAAAAACTATTGCTTACATTCTCTAATTTTAATTCATACATGAGGTAGGTAATAAGGATATATATAAATTCAGGATCAATTTAAA